AACACTAACTGCAGTTAACTTTAGCTACGTTTTCGTACAACCGGACACAAATATTTCAGGATAAACCTGCCTGAAAAATATTAACAAGTACTTTGACATTTCAAGCAAAGATACGACAACGTCTTGTTTTGAGCGTCAACAAAGATAGTTACGAATCTATCTTGTTGCTGATTGGTTCCAACTATTGTCAATTATCATCCAAGCAAGTCATATGTTTGGATAGCAACAATGGTTAGTATGAAAAGAGCTACTCAGATTTTCATGAGCCAGAAGGCAACATTCAAAACTTACAGGCAAAAACCAATATACTCAGAAGAGAAAAGGTATTTATTGAACTCTACCGAACTCTAAAAACAATTATTTTTGCTAAAATACTATTTTACCAAATGTTGTAAATGTTCTTGCTGCACGTGTAAAAATCTCACAGAAAATAGAGATTTTTTCATGAGAAGTGCTGACATATGGTATTTTTGCACGCGTTAATTTGTTTTCAAAAAGCGAACAAGCGAATGAGCACGTGAGCTTTGTAAAACAAATTAAGAATTGCGAAAGTACAAAACAAGTGTCGAAACTTGGAACAAATTTTATTTCATTGTTTTATAATTGAAATTACTTACAAATACATCAAAAAATAAGACGTCATGTATGCATAAAAAAATTTCATGTAAATGTTTTGGAATAAACTTTCCCATTTTGCAACTTGCTGTGATTTCTTCCTTGCAGAAACAGGAAAGAGGGTCCTCAAGGGAGGGGGGGGGGTGGGGGTGGGAGGGTCGTGTTCCCATTTCCCAGCCCAAATTTTGATTAAATCCCATTGTCCCAGAGGCTGAGCAGAAATCCCATCACCTCAGTGGCTGTCCTGCTCAAATCTTAATCCCATTCCCATTTTCTATTGTTTTTTTGCTGATGAATCCCAGTCCCAGTGCATGAAATCCCATTTTCCCACCCAAAAATAAGCAAATGCCAGTTTCCATTTTACCCCTTCAGGACCCTCTGGAAAACTTGAGATATCCAATCTGAATAAAACGACTGCATACATAATTACTGCCGATTAAAGCCTGGTTCACAATAGCAATTTTATTGGCGATTTTGTGTTTCTGACGGATCGAAATGAGTGAACACGCACACACAAGTGTAGAGTCGCTTTTCAGAAGTAAACGTGTTTTGCAAGTCATTCTTTCGATCACGTTTGTCAGGAGGTTGAAAATCGCCGACAGAATTGCTAATGTCAATTAAGCTTAATAAACGTCTTGTCATAATGTCTAAATGTCAAGCTTACACATACTTTCTTGTGGAAGGTAACACGTCAGCAACTGCTCTGTACCTGGCTTTATTCATGGCAGGAAGATATTCCCATGTAGAACCTCCCATTGTAAAACACTCCGCTGAGTTGAGATATTCATCTTCTTCATTGATACCTCCCATGACTACAATTGTGTTTCCAGTGATAACTGAACAGCATTCATATCTCTTCTCCAACATGGATGGTAAGACTATGATCTTTCCCGTCTTGCAGTCGTACATGAAAACATCATTAAGAACTTGACCATTCTTATCACGACCACCAAGCACAATTACCTGATCTAGCCAGCGAACCGTTGCCAGTTCCGTCAAAGGATGTGGTAATGGCGACAACTCCTTACATTCATTCTTCGTAGCATCAAACTCCAATACACTGTCCATAGCATGTTTACAATAGTGAGATTTTTGTCCTCCCAGGATCAACACTTTATCTTCGAGTATTTCAGCGCCATGACAATCTCTTGGCTCAGGCATTTGGCACAAGTCTTTCATTGCGCAAGGTGAGGTAAGTTCCAATTCACTAATCACGTTGGACCGTCTCGATTTGCCAGAGATATATCCACCAATGTGAATGACACGTTGTTGGTAAACGACAGTTTGATGATCATCACACTTGTAAGGAAGTTCTCCACAAAACTTATTCCATTTCAAAGGTAATTCATTGAGATCCAAGGTCTCTATCTTCTTGTTACCGTCTCCTCCAAAGACAAATAACTTACCTTTATAGCTAATTAATGAAGCTCCAATGTGCTCATCATTCATTCGTGCCGCTTCAAACCAACCGTTTTTCTCCCAGGAATAAATTTCAGTACTTTTGCCAGTTTTAACCGAAAGACAATATCCACCTGCAACTAAAATGTCTTCTTTTAGGTTATTCAACAATTCATCTGTCGGAGAGGACAGTTTGTTCATCCGTTCGAGCACATTTATCTTTTCCAACATTTGACTCACCATCACTTTGACTTCGTCCACGTCTTTGTCCATTTTGCAAAGATTTTCTTTCACGTCTCTTACTTCTTTCCTAACTTCCCCGACTTCTTTCTTTACTTCTTGTTTAATTTCATCGTGCCTTTTATTCATTGTTTCCACTTTCCCATCCAGTTCGATTAAACTTTCCTCCAATCTTCTTACAATCTTTTCCATTTCAAGATTATTGTTCTCTGTCTTTTGATTAGCTGCTTCCACTTTACCATCCAGTTCCACTAAACGTCCTTCCAATCTTCCAACGATCTGTTTCATTTCAAGATTATTGTTCTCTATCTTTTCATTTGCTACTTCCACTTTGCCATCCAGTTCCACTAAACTTCCTTCCAATTTTCCCAAGAACTTTTCCATGTCAACATGGTTGTTCTCTAACTTTGTCTGTTTAGCTGCTTTTACTTCCCCGTTCAATTCCATTAAACTTCTCTTCATTGCTTTCACATCTTCCTGTGTTTGTTCACAGCCATAATACTTGAATTTTCTATATTCACAAAGCACAGTCTCGTGGTGGATTCTATCTTTCTTATCAATTACCATACTGCATTCCTCTTTTGAACACAACACAGGGGAAAACCCGCAATTCGCGACATGATTTTTTAGTTCCTCGACACAGGTAAACTGTGGACATCCTCGATTGGCATAATCGCAATTTATCCTTAGTTTAGATAAATAATTATTCAATGCACGCGGTGCTCGACGAAGCGTATCTTCACTCAAATGTTCGCTACATTCCGGGCAAGTTTGAGAGTTTACACTCAGATATTGAGTGATACAGGCAAGACAAAACACGTGTTCATTCTTTGTACACATCCTTGGTTCCTTGAGAACATTATAGCATATAGAACAATGAAAATTTTCGTCGACATCTCTTTCAAATCGACAGCCTTCATAGCCATACTTTTCTTCTGTTGGGCAGCAAGACATTCTTTACATCTTACAGTTACAACACATTATTCTACTATTTGCATTGTACAAATAGATACCTGCAACGACCATTCACTATCTGATTCATTATATTATATTGTCAAGCAAGTAAATTGAGAGCAAGAGGTAAAGTTTTTGAAACACTTCCGACAACGTTTTGGTTTCGCTTTGCACTATTAAACGATACACCATGAATATTCATAATACTTGGAAATATACAATCAGAAGATCAAAGGCCACGACATCAATTTCCTGTACTGAATGAACAAACAACAGGGGTGCAAATGTAAACGTCTTAATGGACTTCGGATTATATTAAGCAAATATGCTGGTGTACACAATTTCATGCATATATATTTTAGGGAATGAATTCTTACCTTCTTGCAAATATGACGTAATTCTCCAATTTTTAACTATGAAATACTAATGCGAAATTAATAACGAAATTTTTATCCTACCAAGACAGTGTAAAAGACAAGGGCTTGTATATCCAATACAGTATTTAATAATAATCCTATTGATTCACATAAAAATTTAAGATCATTTTCATCACCATGGCCAAATGCGTTCATAAGCTAGATCATTAAAAATACGAAGATAACAAAGAACCGGAGATGACGGAAAAGATCTGAAAAATCTGAGTATCTTTGTCATGTTTCTATTGCATAATAATTGCGTCATCAAGTAACGACATGCGCATTAGAACTAATTGTGTGTGTGTATTCTTTCCTTTTAAGTGCCCATCCAGGGTCACAAGGCCTGGACATTACTTTTGTAATGAGCTCACGAGTGGAAGGAATACAATTACTTGCTATTAGAACTCTAAAAATACGAAGACTTTAATCAAGACAAATCACAAACTATACACGGCATTTGCATCCGTGATGTATTATGTATAAGGGAATACAACCACTTGCATAAGGAATACAACCATTTGCCGTCAGCTTTTGTGTGAAAATTCAAGCGTGAAATAGTACTACAAACAGTCTACCGGTGTCGTCAACGTTGTAACATTCTTGTCGTATCTTGAGTGTATCAGAACAATCTTGATAATGCCATCTAACTTGCTTGTTACAAGTTATTAACAGCTTGTTCCAAACTTGTTACAGCAATTGGAAACAAGCAGTGCGAACACAACTTGTCGACGGCTTATGAACGGATTTGTAACAACTTGATTGCAGACTTTGTAACAAACTTATTTGTAACAACTTGTTTGCATACTGTACGTGTGTATATAGATCAAATATAATTTTTATCTCACGCGCGTGAAGTCCACGTGGATGGTTTAGCGGGGAAGGATAGGGTGTGAGAATGGCTGAGAGATTTATTGAGACTTACTGTAGGAAAATGAAACATTTCAACATAACTATATCGTTGCCAATGATTTATTATTATCGGGAAAGCAATCAAGCGATAATTCGCGGTCTTGGAAGTATTAATCCTCGAATATTAATACGTATTTTAAGTGTTATAATATATAACTTAGCATGACTCCTGTGAAATAAATAGATCGATGGATTGCGGGTGCATTCTGCTATTCTTGTTGGAGTTGTTGCGCAGTGGTAGTGCATGTCCGGTCCCTGCCCGTCTTCTTGTCCAGGGTATTTCTACAATACGTATATCATGTTTCCAAAAAATTGAAAAAGTAGCCAAAACCCTTAACCTTTGCCGAAATTTAACCACTTGAAATTATTTATTTCAGAAATTTTGTCTGGATCAATACGAGTTTTCTTTCCTGAAGTTTTGAAATAAACGTCCAGAAATACACAGGCAGGCCCATATCTAGCATTTCTCGCGGTGTTTACTTTCATTGCCAGACCGCAATGAGGCAAATTACAATAAGATGATGAATTAACTAATACCTATATTAAATACAAGCGTGTCAATGTTGGCAGGGGGATGGGAGCTAGGGGAAGGGGGGAAGGTGTATCGATCCCTTCAAATTTTGGTGTCGGAGAGAGTATAACTACCCCCCACCACCACCCCATATTTTGCTTTTCTTTACAATTCATTACACATTATTAATAATTGTGATCGAACTGAAATCATTTAGCATGTTTTTAATAAAATCGATTTTCTCAGTGAGTGTAACAACCTGTGAAAGTGTCCTCTCCCACAGCAGCCATGCCCAAATAAGGATGAAGACTGATATAGATTAGTGCCCCACTCAAAAGAGGATGACAATTGATGAGAGTAGACAGTCGCGCTTTGGTACAAAATAAAGGATTGATGCGTTTTCCAATTATGTTTTAAATAAAATACATGATAGTAATTGTGAAAGCATTGAGAACATCCAATCAAAGCCGCGTGATTGCCAACTCTCATGCATTTTCATCCTCGTTTGATCCAGTGGTGGATTTATAGGGAGAGGGATCACATTGGGTGTGCACTCACGTTGGCCTTGGTCAACCGGGGTGCAAAGGCGTGCAAAAAATTAAATTTATCTCACTTTTAAATGTTCGAGGTATTCAAAGTTTGTTATCAGTCTTAGACCATGGATAATAAAATAAATGGATAGGAAACTAGCTGACGTGACCTAATATTTTTAATGGGCTGATGTTGGATGCTTCAACCTACTTGAAAACCAAATTCTCAAAAACGCAATAATACAGCTAAACATTTTAGTCAAAGAGCAAATAAATATAACCACGCCATTCTACGATAATAAGTATTTCCAGTCAATTTTAGCAAATATTTCAAGCACTAAACAGTTAAAAATGCATCGCAAATTTCGTTAAAATTTGTGACGCCGATTTCGTGGCTACAAATGTAAAAAAATACAAAACAAAGACGAAAAACATTTACCTTGAATGCTTTGTCGTGGCTTAGACATGTTTTTAAAACAAAATATAGCAAAACAACAAAAATGCCGAGAACTTTGATAATATTCTCAATACGCGTGACGTCCTGTTTTTCAACAAGGATGCAGTCAATGACGCCAGGAAGTTTCCTATCCAGTTATTTTACAATCCATGCTTAGACTAAAGCCCTGGGCAAACTAGGAAACATTGTTGTGGAAACATTTGTGATTCTCGATGTTTCTTCAAATGTTTGCCTGTTTGCCCACCCATGGAAACATTGTTGCGGAAACAATATTTGCTTCCCGGGAAGCAAAAATATTTCCTAGCAAATTCAGAAAAATTTGATGTTTCCCTATGTTTCTTACTAATGTTTTCTAGTGTTTGCCCACTCTCGGAAACATGGCGAAACATTGGTAGGAAACAATGTTTCCGCAACAATGTTTCCTAGTTTGCCCTGGGCCTAACTTACGTTTCGGATTCACGGCAGCACCACAACACTAGTTCAAAATAATTAATTCAGTTTGATACTTTGATTGAATAAAGCAAATTCTGAATTTTGCTGCAAACGCTTATTTGATAATGAATATAAAAATTAGAAAAATTGCCAATATTTAAATGTGAAAAAAATCCATTTCCTCTTCAATCACAGTATCAAGAGAATTATGGATGTGTGTAATTATTAAATTATATTTATTCAACATATCTGTAAATCGTAACCAAGAAACTATACCAGGTGCACTTTCAGGACTTGTCACCCTAGGTTATACCAAAGTAAAAGGCAGGTAATAATATACTCTATTGTTTGACATGACCATTAGTTTGAGACTGTGTCGGTTTTGGTGTCATGTATAAACTATCGACATAACTACAAGCCAATTCAGCGACCATGGATCGGTCTGGTATCTGTTGAGCCATGCCATAAATAGCACCCTAAAATATACCAAACATATTTACTCGTTTAAACGCCGCTTCCAATGATAGACGGCCGGCCAACTTTCTGAAAGTCACATTCTAATGGTAATTTTTGTTACAAGCTGCCAACTGGCATTTTCGTAGAGTATACAAGTATGCATTAATAAAGAAGACTATTTATGTTTAGCATTTTGATTGGCTCCTGAGTGGTCAGTAACTTGCAGTAGGGACCGCTCGCGAAGAAAAGTCATTTTAAGTGATCTTTGCAATGCAAGAAAGGATTGGCTGAAATTTCGTATCTTGGGCACTTTAATGCGAAAATGACAAAAACTTAATTACATTGAGCGAGAGGTTCAGACTGTAGGCCATCAAATTCAAATAATCCGGCAAATGACTATGTGGATATAGAACTTTGTTTTTGTAAGTACGTGTCATATAAGCACTTTAAGGATACTTACGCCTCCTGTGGTTTTCTTTTGAGGATTTTTCAATATTTTTTCTGCACTCTCTTTGACATTTTTAATAAATTGATCAGCCACTCCAGGCTGTGTCACAGGCATCGTCACACACATATGAATACTAATAAAGAAAATCAGTAAAACTATCAATCTTCATAAAATAAAGACAATAAACACAAAAAAGCCACAAAGTTTTGCTTAACAGCGTGTGTAGAGGTGTTCTTTTGAAGCTATTTCTAAAGAATAAAATTACTATAAGTGTTCTGTTGACAACCTCTTCTACAACTATTACGGCACAACGATGCACTGAAAAATGTTTTGACTCAAGCACCTGAATAAAGTATATTATGAGCTTACAGTATACAAATAATGAATGTTTCTGATTGCAATGGTAAGAATATTTTCATGAGGTGAAAGATGGAATGTTCCATTCAACGATGGAACATTCCATCTTTCACCGAATAAAAATATTCCTACCATTGCACAAAAAACATTCATTATTTGTTTTATGTAATACCAAAATAGACTAATAGATTCATAGGAGAAGCATTTTGAGGGATGCGATTTATCGAAAACACAAAGAATGCAATTGCACTATACGTTTTATTCCATTGCACTCGCAGAGACTGCAATGGAACGTATTCCATTGAACTCTTGGGAAATGGAATTTTCTATTCAATATCACGTGACCATACACAGCCAATTAATATTAAACGATCAGAATAAAATAAGGTATTACATAATATATTATGAATATCAAATTTATGAGCAAATTTACTCATCTTTTGTAAATTTGAAACTTTACTTAAAATTATTTTCATACCCAGAAGGAAATTGAAGTGAGTTAAGATTCCATCCTTTTTCAATGAGTTCATTTCCAAGACCAAAAATATCAAAATCATCTGAGCCCAACCCAACCACAGACACCTCTGGTTCACCATACACAAATATACCATTGATTTTACGAAGTCTACAAGAGAAGAAATACACATGCAATTTTGGAAAAACATTTCCGGTGATTAATAACTTCTTATTAACCGAACGCGAGGTCTGTATAGAAAAATATCGGACCGAGGTCATTTTTGTACAGATCGAGCCCGTAGGGCGAGGTTTCTACATACCGAGCAAGCAAGCAAGGTTAATAAAAAGTTTATTATAATAGCGCATTTATACGCATTTATACTTGAAACAAACAAGAAATGCATGATTTGAAATGCATGATTTGAAATGCATATTAGTAGCGAGGTACACATTTGGTCAAAGAAAACAAAACTTACTAGTTATCCTTCTTTTCCACTAAAAACCATTCGCAGATATCTTATTAATAACAAATTAAATTATAACTTTGAAATTTTCAATTAGTTTTGCTGTTTTGTTTTAGACCGCCACTTTCAGCAGTCCATTACGGGAAAATAATGGACCGCTGAAAGTGATTCTCAACCAATCACAGTCCGCCATTTCACCGGAACTGATGCTTGCCATATAATAAAGCTATAATATATTTTGCATTACAGTTGCAGTACTGAAGCATGTATCAGTCGCCTTTCGATCGTTGTATTAATGGTGACCAGGACGTTTAGCTATAATTATTACTCCAATTCGAAAATTCAATCTAAGGGAAAATTTTGACACTAAGATTATTAAGATGTATCAACTAGAACCAATGTCACAGTATATATATATATATATAAGATTAGAAGACAAACTTGAATTAGTTCATATGAAGTAATTCAAGTTTGTCTTCTAATCTTATCAGCTCTACTACGGTATGGAGCACTCTACTCATATATGTTTCCAAACTCGATATTTGTATATATATATATATATATATATATATATATATATATATATATATATATATATATATATATATATATATATATATATATATATATATATATATATATATATATATATATATATATATATATATATATATATATATATATAATTCAGTCAAGGTTTGAATGTTTGCGTCGCTACTCTGAGTTTCACGCTTTACGCGATCATCAGGCAACTGACAGATATTATTCAATATTCATAATAAATATAGGCTTAATCAAGTTGTAAAATGATAACCTATATTTATTATTAATCAAGGTGTAAAATGATAACCTATATTTATTATTAATCAAGTTGTAAAATGATAACCTATATTTATTATGAATATTGAATAATATCTGTCAGTTGCCTGATGATCGCGTAAAGCGTGAAACTCAGAGTAGCGACGCAAACATTCAAACCTTGACTGAATTAATGCCGCTCTACTTATTATGGTATTGAGCGCTCTTCTACCTTACGTCAACTCATCGACTATTTTTTTGAATATAGTCTTCAGTATATATATATATATATATATATATATATATATATATATATATATATATATATATATATATATATATATATATATATATATATATATATATATATATATATAATCATATATGAGTAGAGTGCTCGATATACCGAAGTATAGAGCTAATATAGATAAAGATAAAATAAACCTGGTTTACTTCATAAGATTTATTCACTACAAACTTGTTTCGTATGACAAGCAATGACAAACTTGTTTCGTATGACAAGCAATTCACCACACTCATCAGGTGAATTTAAATGTCGCGCTAAATTCACCTGATGAGTGTGGCAAGCATTGCTTGTCATACGAAACAAGTTTGTGGGTGATGCCAATATAAGGTAAAATAGCACTGGTCTGAAGCAATCAGAATTAAAAAAATTAAAAAAAAATGTAATGATATGAAACAGTGTTAATAAAATTTTGAATTTGAATTGTAATGTTTTTCATTATTAGAATATAAATATAGGAAACCACTAATTAATCAAATATATTAAATTCTCACCCTTCCTCGATGTACTGACGAGTTTCAATAATCGTTCTAGTACAATCAACATAGCCTGAAATCATTAAACAATAAAATATATCTTTCATACAATAGAGAATTGATGAGAGTTTAGAAGCGAAAGTTTGCATGAGAGTTTTCTCAACTCTCGTGGTCCAGGTCAAACGAAAACAAGAGTTGCGTGAAAGATGAAGTAATATTTCAAATCCGACTATGAGGACTGGGCTAGATTTCAAGTCAGCGCAATTTGATCATACCCCAGGCGAAGATGAGGACTGGATCAAAATGAAGGGATCTATTGTACTAGAAAGCTTCGAATTGATAGGGATACAGCTACATTAAAAATACAAGGAGAACAGTATCGTATTTTTAAGATATGGAAATTCCTCCGACATCTCCAAATTTGGTATTTCCATATCCTAAAAAACAACCCTGAAACAATATCCACAAAACCTTAGTTCGTCGTCACAGAATAGCACGTTTCCTTGTCGGGTGCCCCAATTTAAAACCTGTTCGTTTATAGATTTTGCTATACCTCCTCCCATCTCATCTACAGCATCTCATATTGGGGAAACTGGAAGATCTTTGATTACAAGGTTTGGTGAGCATCGATCGGCCTGCAGTCATTGGCAACGGTGCTAACCAACCTGTTGCCAGACATTTTAATAGTAGCAATCAGTGCCAATCGCAGTGTTTCAGATGTGAAAATTAAAGCCTTCTGTCCCATTTTTGGAAGCAACGATAGCCGCAAGAGACATCCTAAAGCTTTCGTATTATTTGCAACTAACTACACTGGAACGGTCTGTTTGAGATTATATCTATTGTACTAACCTTCTTCACCCATATACATCATAGCAGTCCAACAGCCAGCAATAATCCCACCAGAACGACTGCCTGGGATTGTCGGACATGCGTAGATCCCTCCCGTCCAATCCGTGGAAACAAAGAACTGGTGATGACGTAATTCGTGCGAACGATATAGAATGACCGAAGATCTCTTAGGAGCGTAGCCGTACTGTAATATTTAAAAAATAATCAAACAGTGTTTAATAACAGTGCCAATCTTACAGTCATATACTTCATTAAATACTCAGAAATGTTAAATTTGCCAAATACTTTGTGGGTGTCAGCAGAAATACTGGTTACGCCTTCCACTGAGAAGTCAAATGGCGCCAATGGAAAACTAAAAATGATTAAAATTACTAAAAAAAACTGATAAAGCTATACAGTATAAAATAAAGTTAGTTCAGTTTAGGTTTCTTCCTGTAGCAACACTGGATCAATGAGAGCTGATTCTTACTGGATCTCTATAGGAAGAACAGATTAGAATTGATGGAGCTATCCAGTACCAAAAAGAATAAAAATGCTTACAACTTTCGATGGTTTGTTATAAATTCATTACAAGAATCATGCAAGGCAATACTGTAGCTGCATTTCTGGCGGGGAAACACCTTGTTAGCTACATTTTAATAGTTATTACCCAGCATCTTTCATAAACGGGACAAGAAATCCACCCAAACAGCAATCAACATGAACGCCAATATTGTATTTTTTACCAAGCTGAAAGAAAAAACGAAAATTTCTATTTCCTACACTGTATAAAAATCGACATAATGAATGGGGATTGAAATAAACTACGGGATCTGCATACTAGAGATGTGCAAATCCGATCCGACACCAATCCGATCGGACTCATTTGCATTTCGGAGTCATAATACTCGTCCTTCGGACTCGTGCTATTTTGGTGCCCTTTGAAAAATTCACTCGTGCATGTTTTATCCAAATTGCACTCGAAACCATCCTAATACCTATACTACTAATGCATGAAATAAATAATTGTTTCAAAGATAAATACCTTAGCAATTTCTTCAATGGGATCGATGATACCATGAGGATACGATGGGCATGAACCAACCAACTACAAAATAATGAATTTCTCATGACAAAACTATACCAAAATTATACAATACGAAGGCTTACAGGCGCAAAAATCTCACATCTTGCAGCAAGTCTACCAACAAGCCGCCAGCAACTCATTGTGTTCGCACTGATTGTCCCAAGTTGTAAACAAGTTTGGAACAAGCTGTTAACAACTTGTATAACAACCTTGTTGATATTATCAGACTTGTTGCAAGGTTGTTCCAACAAGTCCGACACAGTCATGATATAACAATATTGGTACAACCTTGTGCCGTCAACCTTGTAACATTCTTGTAAAATCATGACTGTACGAAACTTGTTAGAACAACCTTGTAACAAGTCTGGTAATGCCATCAAGCTTGTTACAAGTTGTTAACAGTTTGTTCCAAACTTGTTACAACAACTTGGAACAAGTAGTGCGATGACAACTTGTCGACAGCTTGTGAACAGATTTGTAACAACTTATTTGCAGATCTGTAACAATTACGAACAAGATTTGGATCGACTGCCATTTAAACATTTTAATTAAGTAACTTACCCAAGGTTACGTCGTCCGGCATATCACGAATTGAAAACACAAATTATCTAGAGTTCTAATAGCAAGTAATTGTATTCCTTCCACTCGTGAGCTCATTACAAAAGTAATGTCCAGGCCTTGTGACCCTGGATGGGCACTTGGAGAGTGGTAGCTGTATGCTGCCCGCAAACTCGAGTGGAAGCTGGAAGCTTTCCCGTGAAATCACTTATTGCGAACTCCGTCATCTCCAGTTCTTTGTTATCTAGCAGTTGGCAATTTTATTATTATGGTAATGTATATTGTTAAGACTGAAAGATCTGAGTATCTTTGTCATGTTTCTATTGCATAATAATTGCGTCATCAAGTAACGACATGCGCATTAGAACTAATTGTGTGTGTGTATTCTTTCCTTTTAAGTGGCCATCCAGGGTCACAAGGCCTGGACATTACTTTTGTAATGAGCTCACGAGTGGAAGGAATACAATTACTTGCTATTAGAACTCTAGATAATTTGTGTTTTCAATTCGTGATATGCCGGACGACGTAACCTTGGGTAAGTTACTTAATTAAAATGATCTGTAACAACTTGTGCGTGTACTACTCACGTAAACCGCGCAAGTTTTTACAGATCTGCAAACAAGTTGCAACAAGGTTGTTGACAAGCCGATATCAGAATGTGTTCGCACTGCTTGTTCCCAGCTGCTGTGGCAAGTCTAAAACAAGTTGTTATCACCTTGTCACAAGGTTGATGACGGTAACAGGCTTGTCTTCCAACAAGACTAACACGGGCTGTTCGTAACAAGTTGCCACGAGCGTGTTGTCATCAACTTGGTAACAACTTGTTACATGCAGACGATATCAGACTTGTTGGAACAATTTGTTGCGAGTCTGTTGGCCTCATCAACCTTGTTACAAGGTGATAACAACTTGTTCTAGGCTTGTCAACAACTAGAAAGAAGCAGTGCGAACACATCTTGTTGACAAGTTGTGAGATTTTTACGCGTATATAACTCACCAAAACCGTATTTTTCGTAATAGCTCGTCTCATAGCTGGAAGATTACATTTCCTTGTTTTTTCATCAACAGGAACCAGAATAAGTTTCATCTTGAAATACGCTGCAGCCTTGACGAAACAATAAAATATTTAACTTCAGCTGTAGTGACAATTCGCCATTCCGAAATTAATAGGGAGATTACACACGCAAGACGGCGACGCCGGTCTGCTAAGCACACTGTTTGAAATAAATGATTGGTTGGAAATCTAAAATCTTGTTTGTATTTACTTTCGTATGAATTTAATACAGTTTTGAACAAGTAAAAAGAGCTTTAAACCTTCCGAGCAATTTTGGTTAACTCAATTTTGCTAGAAAAACTACCTGTCACGGCTTGAAATGCTAGCGTAGTGTACTATACGAGACGTGAAATATGCATTTTGCCGTTGTCAACAGAGGTTGGACAACGTCTAAAACTCCTGCTAGACTTATAGTTATTCATTTCTTTTGTGCTATAGGGTTATTGACATTGTATTGATAGCCGTCGTCCTGACATCACCGTCGTACATGCGTAAACTCACTATATGCATGTGGTATGCATGCGGTATTAAAAACACCAAAATGAACACCGAGGTATCGATAGACTGCTTGAATTCCAATAATATTCGTGAGATACCAGCGCAGCGCTCTAACCAGCAGGGGTGGATCTGGCCTGATTTGTTAGAGAGGGTAAAGGTTTTCTAGAGGGCGTGCATTACTACGGGGGTCTGGGGGCATTCTCCCCCAGAACATGCTTGAAATTTCAAGCCCTGAAATACCAATTTCCTGCATTCTGAGCACTGCGTTCATTCGTTAAATTTATCCTCACAGCAGGGCCTTTTTTAACATACAAGCTGGGGGGGGGCAAATGCCCCCCAGTCCCCCCTTGTGCCCCCCCCCCACGAAATCACATTTTGCCCCCCCAGGAAAAGTCCCTTTTCCCTAAAATTATAGAAACAAACCAGAGAAGATTAACAAATACATAAACGGAAAGTAAGTTTTAGGCGTTATCCTTTGTCCTTAACAAAATCGATTTAAATTGTTACTTTTTTCTACCACTAAGTAATGATAAATTATTGTTAATAATTTTTTTATTTTTTGGATGCTCAGAATGCAGAAAATAGCATTTCCGGGTTTCAAATTTCAAAAATTTTCTTGGGATTATCCCTCTAATAAGTAATGATAAATGATGGTTAATTTTTTTAACTTTTTGTGCGTTTTTTCCTTTATTTATTTCAAATACAAGTATAGTTAGCATAAATTTTGGAGCAAATTTGGATGCTCAGAATGCAGGAAATGACATTTCCGGGATTCAAATTTCAAAAATTTTCTCGGGATTATCCCTCTAATAAGTAATGATAAATGATGGTTAATTTTTTTTAACTTTTTGTGCGTTTTTTCCTTTATTTATTTCAAATACAAGTATAGTTAGCATAAATTTTGGAGCAAATTTGGATGCTCAGAATGCAGGAAATGACATTTCCGGGATTCAAATTTCAAAAATTTTCTTGGGATTATCCCTCTAATAAGTAATGATAAATGATGGTTAATTTTTTTTAACTTTTTGTGCGTTTTTTCCTTTATTTATTTCAAATACAAGTATAGTTAGCATAAATTTTGGAGCAAATTTGGATGCTCAGAATGCAGGAAATGACATTTCCGGGATTCAAATTTCAAAAAATTTTCTGGGGGACTACTCCCCCAGACCACCCCCCATTCATGAGTGGTATATTGGCGACACACGTAGCCTTCAGCCATTGCTATCCCCCTCTAATATATTGTATCACAGAAAAGTCCCTTTTCAAAAAATGCCCCCCCCCCCCCACGGGAAAATCCTTAAAAAAGGCCCTGCCTCACAGTACTTGTATTTCGGGGAAAAATTAAGAGAAGTGCTACGCAGGAAAATTTTTTTTCCTTCTGGGAACCTGGGTCGAAAGCTAGAAATTTTCTGTAAAATTTGCAATGTTACAATTACTGTATTATTTGTACTTTAGTAATAATAGGCTTTAGGCTGGTTTTCGTATGCTCGTACATCGCAATAGTTGTTTGTTATATACCACAGGTCCACAGTTATGAGTTATGACCAACTAGTAAGGATCTAACGCTTAACTTAGAAGTGTCCTATCTTATTTATTCCATCACTTTTATTTGTTTACTATTTAATTTGCATTTTATTGGAGACTTTGCAGAGCATATATTTACCATTTTACCTCATGAATGTGATGGCAGGGGTGGGTAACAGAATTAATTTCTGTCAAATATTTAAAAGCTGCTGTTGTTAGTCTGACCAGTGTAAATAAAGTAGAATAGTTGTAAGTTGAGTAAACAGAGTTATCTCAAAATGTTGAGATATTTTCTGGAAAATTTTCTGCAAAACTCTCAACTCAAAAAAATTTCTGGGAACTAGGTTCCGAGGTTCCGATACTTTTTCCACCCCTGGTGCTACGTTATATGGTGATCCGCCGTCTTGGTGCTGGAATATTTTCTCGCGTATTCGAAAATCAGTCGTTTTAATATAATAAGTGGTATTCACAACTCAAATATGGAATAGAAAGAGTTTCCTTCAAAGGGGTGCTGGACACCACCAGGGGTGTGGGGGGGGGCGGGGTATGCCCGCCCCTGTTACCAGTGAAGCGCTCTAATGTTCTTCAATCTTCATTTGACATTTCCATCAACAAAAATCCTTCATCATTTAGCTCTATCGAGCAGATGGCCAAAGTCTCGAATATTTTTATGTTTTACTTACTTTTTCAAAAGCAGCATGAACCGAGATTGGAGCGACACTAACAAAAGTTATAAATTTATGAGTTAAGCCCTTGTGAATAACCATTAATTCAGTGCAATTCAGTAGCCGAATGCCACGAGGGTCTCAAAGCGTTCGGTTTTGTATTATGTCAGCTTTAGAATTTGCAACCCTAAAACAGGCGAAAGTGTTCAAGAATACGTTCCGTAAACATGGGTATACAGTTACTTGCCAAAAGTTTGAATATCTTCAAAAGTCATATTTTCAACAGTTAAATACTTTGCACAATTCCGTTACCGACTCACTCAATAAGTTGTTACATGTTTAACTATGCATTTAGTTTAATAACTGGTTAGCAGGATTTCATTTAAGATATTTTAAGGAAAATGTACCGGATAATATTAAGAATATGTTGGGCCTTCGGAGTAACTGTCAGTATGTAGTTGCAAATATCCTTGTGCTTTCGGGACATGCTTTGCCCATTTAGCAACGGATTAAACCAAGATCTTGACAACATTTTTCTAGGAATTTATTCCCAAGTTTTCCAAACAATAATCTCTAGTTCAGCAAATGTCCTCGGTAATTCCTTTGTTTACTCTTTTCTTGTCAACCATCCATACATTCTCCATTGGGTTGAGTTTAAACCTTATTGCTGGCACCTCAAGGCTTCTCACGCGACTCTGGTTCCTCATGTTACGGAAAAAAATGGGACAGAATGGTCAACATTTTTTAAATATTACCGTAGGTTAAAATAGCTGAAATGAAATCATGCTAACCAGTTATTAAACCGAATGCATATTTGAACATGTAACATCTGTAATGGAATTTTGCAAAATATTCAAATTTTGCGCTTGTTTTCAAACTTTTGGCAAGTAACTGTATTTTCTTAAAGAGATTCTTACATTTCAGGTTTTACAATGCCTTTTTCTTCTTTCGCCCAATCTCGATATGTTTTACAAGCCAAAAGAAGACTTTCAGTACCACCACTTGTCGTCTGGAGGAAAAACACACTGTGGGTAAGATAAAAGTGTATTTTGACAGGGGAGGGGAAGGGAGCTTTAGTCATAGCCGTTAGCTCTATATACATCTGGAGCGAGAATTTCAGTCATTTGGTCTATGAGAAAAGTTAAGCCAAGAATGCGGAAACTGACGTCCAATATCTATGAATGTTGTAAACAGTTTTAATTCCATTCCCCCCAGCTAATTCCAGTTTTCTTCTGACGGAATTTCTAATCAAGCTATCGTGCAGCTCATGAAACCATAACATTATTCTTAATTCGAAGTTGACGCGCACTTTATAGCCACAAGCCGTAGTTATAAGGTATGCCGATAACAGACGTACATTATAGCTAGCTACAAAACCGTATCCATAAGGTATGCCCAAAGAAAGCGTACGTTATAAGCACAAACTGTGGCCCGTCAATCTCGGTGCAAGACAATCTCCACATGCAAAACACTTTTGTAAATAATACGTAAATTATACATGGCATTGCAGTATGAGATGACAACATTTCCTTCAAGATGTAAGAAGATTTCCTGCGAAGATATTCTGTTCAAAAATTCCCGATAGTGGTGTTTCTGGCGCGGCCGGACATTGGGTACACAAATTTAAACACCACTTACCGTCCCACAGGCGTCGGGCCCTCCATTAAACATCCCCACACACATTTGAACAATTTCAGCCTCCATTTTACGAACTGAAAGAAAAGATTACGACTTTGCACATTTCATTCTGAAAGGTGATCCTTTATTTCAAGATTTTGGGCACAACACTAAGGTTAAAATTTTCCTAACTAGCCTAGAACTTATTCTATTTGGGTAAAATTAATATCCCTGGTCAAATTTCCTGGTCGGTATTTTAACCCTTTTGGGACCAGGCCTGTTCATATGAGCCCGGGGTTTGCGGGGAAGCTCGCGTGGTTGTGATAAATTATTTCTGTGTTCATATATCAGTCTTTTTATCCCACCTACAGTATAATATCCACCCTCGGTCGTGGCTAATGGGGGATGGACTAGAGGCAGGTTTTCAAGATGGCCGCCAGTTTTTAAGATCATTAAAATGTAAAAGAATCAACAACCAGCCACTTGTAACAACACTAAACCTTACCCTCACCCCACACCTAACCCTAACCCCCACACTAACGCTAATACTAACGCAAACTCTTATTTCAATTCTGGAACCTTCTCGTCCATCCCTTTTAGGCATTAGAGAGGTTAAGATTGACGTTTACGGCAGACCGGTAACCGCTAGAACTTCAAGTCGTATTTTGAGATCAACTGTAAACTGTTGGAAGTCATAGGACAATTTGTGCATTAAAATTGAAGAATGAATTGACTAAAAACCTGTCGAAACCTTCGGAAACTTGTAGAACTTACCTTCAAATGCGAATTGAAGTTTCTCGCTTGCGGTTACCAGTCTGCCGTCAGTCTCATATTCATATATATCAGGTTACATCGCGAAGCATTGATCTCTTCGACTCCCTGGATTTTTAATATTTTCTCGCTTTTACATTAAACGTTTCGGATTAACTATATATCAAATTGTTGCTAATACTATACTGATCCTACTGATATAAAATTGGAGTTATCTCGCAACGTATTTCTCGAGATATTCTGCGCGAAATTTCACTTCGCGTTTCTTCATTACGCCGTATCATGTCACGTCGAACCCGAAATAGTCTTGCTTGTATTTCGGAAGAAGATGTCGAGCGTTTAGCGTTGGAATTCCCCAACAAAACTCAGCCAAAGAAAGTAAAGAAAGCAGCTGAAGTCCAAGATGTTCTGTCCGTGAAATCACCCCAAGAAAACGCGGCCGAAAATCAAAAGAACATTTGCGACATGAACGAACACGTGGCCAGAAACAACAACGCAAATGCGAATGACATACTGAACAAAAACTCATGCTGTGAACATTGCACTCATCATGATCAACAGATCACAAATATAATGGAACTAATCGCCAAAATAAAAGACAAACAACAAGAAGAGTCGCAGCAAACCCTATTACGAGTAGCCGAACAGGAAGCCAAGATACAATCATTGACGAGTGAAAATATAAAAATGGCGGCTGAAATTCAAGCACTAAATATTACAGTTGAAGAATTGTCTAATGATAACAATAACATCAAATGTATCTTCGATTACAAACAAAATGAATGGACAAAAATAGAGGAAAAGAAGAAAGTTGTTGGCAATGCTGGGCAAAATACCTCACAGACACAGAATATTACGACAGATGTAACCCATTATAAGTATCGAAATCCCTTCTCAGTTCTTCATGACCAAGCTGATTGTAATATAGAGAATTCCCAGGAAGAGCTCGAGGAAAGGAAAGACAATGAAATCCATCACCGCCACTCAAAACAGAATCTACGATTTGAAAGACCAAAGAAAAGCCTGTGTTCTCAGAAGAAGACACCTAGTCATCACGCACAAGAAACCAATTCCAAACCAAACGACAAGTCGGTTCTAGTAATTGGGGATTCAATGGTGAAGAACATCGACCAGAGCAAAATTGGAAGAGCAGCGAGATCCAATGCTACTTGCCACTCCTACAGTGGAGCAACTGTGGAGCAGATCAACCAGAAATTGGAAAGTGATGGAGTTCATGGATTTCACACAGTCATTCTTCATGTGGGAACGAATGACCTTGTTCGCAAAGAACCAGAGGAAGTTGCAAGAAATATGGAAATCCTAATAAACAAAACGAAAGCCGGTGCAAAGGAGATAGCTGTGTCCAGCGTGGTAAGAAGACATGATGGCAGAATTTCCAACAAGAAGATAGATAAGTATAATCAACTATTGCATGATTTAAGCTATAAACATAAAATATCTTTTATCAATAATGACTGCATAGATAAATCCTTATTAAATGGCTTCAAGCTTCATCTTAACCGTATGGGAGACCGAGCCTTAGGAAGTGCTTTTTGTACTTTCCTAAAATCAAACAGAATGGGAAACACCAACATGGCTTCAAACCATAATGACAACCATTTTTTTCGACGAACGTATGGTCGCCAGAAAGACTGGACAATCTATCTGAGTCATGTGAAACAAATGTTGAAACAGAAGCTACACTAGATTTTTTAGGCACCAATGTGAGCAGCGATTTTATGAAAACCCTCAGCTCAATTCAAAATGAAAGAGGTTTTAAAATGGCTTTTCTAAATATTGTTAGTTTACCTAAAAGAATAGATGAAATTAATTTTTCAATGTCAAATAAGTTCATTGATCCGATTGCTTTTAATGAGACACGACTTGATGCAAATATAACAGATAATATGATTAACCTAGATGGTTATGATGTTGTTAGAAAAGATAGATCCAGAAATGGTGGTGGAGTTTGTATCTACTTGCGTAGCTCTATCAACTACAAAATAAGAGATGATCTAGTTCCCTCTGAATTAGAAGCTGTTTGTATTGAAATTATTAAGCCACATAGCAAGCCGTTTCAGGTTACAACAGTTTATAGACCACCCAGTACATCATCAGAATTCTTTGACCCTTTTGAAAAATTGATTAAAGCTATTGATAATGAAAATAAAGAAATGTATGTACTTGGAGATCTGAACTGTGATATGCTAAAAACAGATAAAGATTCCAATACCCCAACAAAGAAAATTAAGTCATTATACGAATTATATCAGTTATCACAACTGATAGGCGAAGCTACTCGAATAACTATGACAACCAGCAGTCTAATAGATCATATTGTTACTAACACACCAGAGAAAATTTCTGATTCTGGTGTCATTCACACAGGTATAAGCGATCATAGTTTAGTATTCGCAATTAGGAAAATTTCTGTTATAAGAAAACAAGAAAATACTGTTGAGATTAGAAACATGAAAAATTTTGATGAGGAAAAATTTGTTGCAGAACTGCTGAAACAGCACTGGGAATATGTGTATTTTTTTGCTGCAGATCCAAATGCCATGTGGGAAATTTGGAAAAAAATATTTTTAGAGGTCCTAGATAAGCATGCTCCACTTCAACACAAAAAAATCAGATAAAAAAAGTCTCTTGGATTACAAGCGATATAAAGAAGCTTATATGTGCAAGAGACAAGTTAAAACGAAAAGCCATTTTAACAAACCTAGAAAATGATTGGTTGAATTATAAAACGACTAGAAATAAAGTAAATATAGAATTAAGGAATGCCAAGAAAGATTACTATTCCTCGAAAATAGCTGGTCAAAAATTCGATCCTAAAAGAGTTTGGAAAAGTATTAACAACTTATTAGGTAGGCAAAACAAACCAACAGTGGTAAATGAACTAAATCTAGATCAAAACAATTTAACAAGTCCCAAAGATATTGCGGAGGGATTTAATGATTATTTTTCGAACATTGGCCCTGATTTAGCTAGCAAAATTGATTCTTCAAATTACAATTTTGAAACGTATGTTCAAAATGGTAAATCAGAGTTTGCTGCATTCCAACCTGTTACTGTCAGTCATGTCTGTCGTCTTTTGCTTGGGCTTTCCGGCAATAAAGCCACTGGCATTGACAAGATTTCTTGTAAAATTATTAAAAAAGCTGCACCTATCATTTCAGATTCATTGACACTTATTTTTAATCAGGCTATTACTCTATCTTCTTTTCCTGACGAATGGAAAATGGCTAAAGTAGTACCTCTGTATAAAAATGGCCAACGAAATATTCCAGGAAATTATAGACCAATATCAGTTTTGCCGGCCATTAGCAAAATTATGGAACGAATTCTATATGATCAACTGTATGACTATTTAACAAAATTTGAACTTCTTAGTGATTCTCAATTTGGTTTTAGAAAATTTCACTCCACAGCTACTGCATTACTGGACTGTACCAATGATTGGTATGTGAATCTAGACAGAAAAATGTTTAACCTAGTAGTTTTAATTGATTTAAAAAAAGCATTTGATACTGTTGATCATCAAATTCTATTGAGGAAGTTAGAGCTATATGGAATAAAATGACAAGCTCTAACTTTGCTCAAATCTTATCTCACAAACCGAAAACAGAAATGTCAAATAAAAAACTCCTTTTCATCTGAGCGATTGATTAAATGTGGCGTACCACAAGGCTCTATTTTGGGGCCTCTATTCTTTTTGCTGTATGTAAATGATTTACCTCAATGTCTAAATAAATCAAAACCTCGGTTATTTGCCGGCGACACAAGTCTGACAGCTTCGGGAGATTCTATAACTGATCTTGAGGTTGAAAACCTTAGAAAATGGTTAGCCTTAATGTAGCCAAGACCGAATTCATGTTAATTGGTTCAAAACAAAAGATCCCTAATTCTCTTCCGAATATTGTCATTGAAAATAAACAAATTAAACAAGTTTATGAATGCAAAACTCTTGGAGTAACAGTTGACCAGCATTTATCTTGGAAAAGTAATACAGAAAATATTTGCAAAAAAATAACAGCAGGAATCTCTGCCATCCGTCGAGTCAAACCTTTTGTTGACAAAGAAACACTTATTTCCATATATAACGCTATTGTTCGCCCATACTTCGATTACTGCTGTGAAGTATGGGATGTGTTTGGCGAAACACAGTCAAAACGACTTCAAAAACTTCAAAACAAAGCTGCTAGAATTATCTTGAATATGAGTAATGACGTAAATCGTTCTATTGCTTTGTGTGAATTGGGTTGGGAACCACTTAAAACATTAAGGAAGAAAGCTAAAGCAAAAATGGTGTACAAAGTATTAAATAAAATGGGTCCCAAATCACTCACAAATCTATTTTCTTATAAATGTGAGAAAACAAACTATCACCTTCGGGACATTTCAACTCTTTGTTTACCAAAACCTCGTTCTAATAACACGAAAAACAGTTTCATGTACAACGGAGCTAAACTTTGGAATTCTATTCCAAAAGAAATTAGGGAAAGCAAATCACTTTCTTCCTTTCGAAATAATATCGCTGCTCACATTTACGAATAATAAGTATTGTAAATAATGTGCCTGTAAATAGTCTGCCAACTTTCTCATTAGACATTAATATGTTACTATTTTAATACTCATTAATATGTTATTCTATATCTCTTAAAACTTTTGTAAATAGCTCTAACTATCACTTTCCTGTACATGTAAAAATCTTATTCAATTTTTTGGACACGCCCCTCGTGGAAATCAGCTTCGGTTGACGGGGTCAGCGTGTATAAATAAAAGTTCTATCTATCTATCGTAAACGTCAATCTTAACCTCTCAATTACCATCCAGCCTGGGTGGGACGACATTATGTAAACATGGCGGTCATCGAAATATTTTTGTTGTAATAACTGCATCTTGTATTACGACTTTAATAATATCTGTTTAGGACTATTAATGTTTATATTTTGTTTCTATTTTCCAACTATGACGTTCAATACTATATTATAGATCAAAATCGGCCAAAATGCCCATCCCGGTCAGGTGGGATAAAGTCTTCATATGGAAAATTTTATCCCACTTGACTGAGATGCCACCTAGCGCAAGATGAGATCTCACCAAGCCGGGTTGTCTCGTTTCTCATATGAACACAAATTGACAATACAATCGACTTCGTCTCGGGAAACATTGAGACTCTTGGGAAAACAAAACTAAGTTAGTGTATAATGTGATATTCATTTCGAATGCTCACCTCCTGGGAAAACATCAGGATGAAGTGGATTTGACCATGTGAATCGTTTATAAGCCTAGAAAACAACAAGAAAAACTGGGCTAAGATTTACTGCAAAATACATATCATGCGCACTGATTTTTACAGCAGGAGGGTAAAAAATGCAGCATATTTATAAGAATTTTTCATATGCTTTTCATGCGCCCAACCTAATCAAATTAAATACAGCAACAGCACAAGTTCGGCAACTGAGTTAGACGTCGGACGTAATTGTTCCGTGCCAAATATACAAGTACACTATACCTAGGGACAACTACCCCCTCCTATTGAGTGACATTGTACATTATTAATTACTGGCTTATTTCTTTGCTTGTTTATATTTTCATTTGTTGTTGGCTAATATGATGTGTCGAATCAGAAAAGAACTGTCCAATTTAAACTGGCCCATTTTCACTCAAGAAAAATTTCGACAGGCAGAAAATTTTTCGGAAATTTATTGTTAAAGTTGAAAATTTTCAAAATTTTATTGCGATGTAAAATTTGTGTCGGCCAATCACATTTTACAAAATTTTCTCTTTTTTGGAAAATTTTCCTGAGTGAAAATGGCCATAACAGACCTCTGTCAAAACATCAGTGAGTTCCTTTCCACCGTGATAAACTGTCCCAGATACTTTTCCAGCGGCCCAGTCAATTTTACCTAGAACGACAAATTACGCCGGTTAGAGACGAAATATTTTTCTATGACAACACTACAAAAAATCCCCACAAATTTACTCACTTTTTGGAACAAAGATATACATTTCTCAATAAAGTGAGTAAATCTGCTCATAAATTTAAGTAATATTATTCAATATTTTGAGTCACTGTGCACCGTGCATTATTTTGCTCCAAGTGTTGAGTCAAATGTTTTTTTTGCACTGGAGTTTTCATTTGCCAAGGTTTTTTGCTCGTATCTGTACCTATTTGACAACTCTGCCATGTTTTTCTATCACAATTAAGTAGATTTGTTTATAAGTTAGTATGCTAGCTTTTGAACAAGACAAGTGCACATGACATAGAAAGAATTGGCAAACTTTAAATATTTCGCTCACTTATATATGGGTCAGCAATTATATATTGAACATTGGCATGCGGTTGTCAGTGATCTATTGTTGTCGGTAACACATACAGTAAGCAAATAAAACATGCCACATGAAAAATTCTTATAGAAAACTTGTTTGTCTGTAACTGCTTTCAGTAAACTAATTACACTAAGATTCCGTAGGTCAAAACACAATTTAGTAGTTAAGCATTCGGATTAGAGAGGTGTCTCTATTAGAGAGGTTTCCGCATTAGAGAGGTATCTGTATTAGAGAGGTGTCCATGTTAGAGAGATGTATGTATTAGAGAGGTGTCCATATTAGAGAGATGTATGTATTAGAGAGGTGTCTGTATTAGAGAGGAGTCCATATTAGAGAGATGTATGTATTAGAGAGGTGTCCATATTAGAGAGATGTATGTATTAGAGAGGTGTCTGTATTAGAGGGGTGTCTGTATTAGAGAGGTGTCGGTATTAGAGAAATGCATATATTAGAGAGTGTCTGTATTAGAGAGGTGTCGGTATTAGAAGGGTGTCTGTATTAGAGAGGTGTCGGTATTAGAGAGGTGTCGGTATTAGAGAGGTATCTGTATTAGAGAGATGTATGTATAAGAGAGGTATTTGTATTAGAAAGGTGTCGGTATTAGAGAAGTGTCTGTATTAGAGAGTGTCGGTATTAGAGAGGTGTCGGTAGTAGAGGGGTATCTGTATTAGAGAGATGTATGTATTAGAGAGGTATTTGTATTAGAAAGGTGTCGGTATTAGAGAGGTGTCAGTATTAGAGAGGTGTCTGTATTAAGAGGTGACTGTATTAGAGAAGTGATTGTATTAGAGAGTGTCTGTATTAGAGAGGTTCAATTGAATAATAGCTTACCTAGTTTTTCATATTTATCGATTTCCTTCATAAGTGCTTGTTGGCCCATCCCCTTATCTGGAAGCTGAATGAATGAATGAATGATACATAATCTCTTAAACCTGCGTTCCATTACGTACATTTTTTTGCGAGATTGATACCAATATTTCGCTTGTAATTATGTCACTAGCCAATCACTATGCCAAACTTACTTTCGATTTGTGAATAAATAATACATTTACTAATGAAATAGGGCCTAAAAATATTGTTGAAGGGTTTTGTAGCTGGAAATATCGATTGGAATTTTTGTACATTTACAAGACCTAACCAGGAGCACTTGCGAATCGAACCTGCGGCCCTGCAATTCAGGTGGAAACAGCTGGGCAGGGTCTTAGCCAGCCTACCGTCCAGCCGTCTTTTGGACGGCCATTTTCAAATTTGGACGGCCTTCTAAAAAAGACGGCTTTTGGACGGTAAACCGCATAAACATTGGTCAATGCTCACTTGCAAGCTGCCAAATCTGTCAAAACAAAGATCCCTAGGCCTAGCTGCCAAAAACCGTAGAATATAACTATATAAGATAATTAGTTGCTTTGTGTTGTTTTTTGGTTGTGTTCTTCACTCACACTATAGCTTATCAAAGCTCAGTACAAGTACTGTATTTATAGCATGAAAGTGACAACATAATATCAATCATAAGATTAATATATTGGCAGATTTACTTAAACTGTACTACTGTAGTCAGTGTAGTGAGTAGTCACATAGTCTGAATAATTGAATATAGTATTAGTTTTTTTGAGCGATTCTCAAGTGCGGTCACCGATTACTCTCAGCATGCGGAAATAATCACATTGAATTACTGGTGCATGAAGTGGTGCCATGGTTCCATATGGAAAAATATGGGTGTCATAAATGAAATTTCAAATTTGGACACCCAAGTTGCAAATCCTGGCTAAGACCCTGCAGCTGGGGTTTTTTACCTTATATGAATTACCAAATCACCTTCCGTCCGGGCAAATGCAACTAATTTACCAATGCCCCTTCTTTATTCGTGCAACTGGAACCTGGAACTCTTTACCAATTACACTAAGATCTCCTCACATTAATATTAAGCAATTCAAAATTGCTTTATAAACTTACTACCTGACAGCCCTGAGAGAATGCTTCAACGAAGAAGATCCGAGGACATGGAAGACTATATGTCTGAAGTGTAACACTACTCGTCACTTACGTTCTAAACTAACTTGTTGTTTTTAGACTCCTGTCCATGCACTGTATGTTATATGTACTGTACTGTATGTGTATTTTTGTATAGGGGCGCGCGGTAATTGGTTTACACTGTTGTCCTGTCCCTGTCATTCTTGTCTGCATGTTTATTGTCTAGATGTATATTTGTTGCTCTGTTACGTGTTTTTGGCAAAGTTTAATAAATAATAAATAAATAAATATGTTCTTAAATATGTGTTGTCGTGTGAAGCAATGTCTTTAAGACTGACAAAGCATACAAAATAAAATTGACACTGACCAGCCCTTCAGGTATCCGTTTGAAGTCCTAGCTAATAATAATTTGGGTATGACCAATACTGTTTTGCTCTGATGAGGCTCCGGCTACTAATTGATGAGCGAAGCGAGTATGCAAAAAATGGAAGGTCGAAGCTTCAAGGGCGCTGTGAGTTGAGTGATGGGCAAAGGCTTGCAAGCTTTGTCTATTTCGTATATTGTCCGTGTGCTCTTCCGATCTAAAAATTTCAGCTTGTCATGACTGCAAGTACCGGCGAATTACACACAGCCTCTGGCGAATGGCCGTCAAATGTCCTCTTATAGCGCTGGCGAAATTCGCCGTTCGCCGACTTAAAACAAGAAGTGTCAGACACTCGAAATTTCCATTTACAAAATCCATCCGCATCAGTTCAATCGAGTGAAATGTCAAAAAATCGTGCAAAGCTGCATGACACCGAAAACAAATAATATTTTGAATAAGATGATAATTTATATTACCTTGGTATGATAGTGTTCATTGTTCTTGCTTATCCAGGCTTTATTCATATCATCTTTCGCCTTCTGCAATTCTGCATTTATCTGACAAACAGTAGACTGTTTTTACGAAATTACACAACATATAGTCACAATCTTACTTACTGTAAGGAGCGCTCATTATTTATGGCGAGGGGTGGCACCGAAGACAATGATTTTCCTGGTAAAAATTTTCTGATCCAACCATTAAAGAGTGAACTTATTTTTACCCAACCTCAAATATGAATTAAAAAATAAATACCTACCCCTGGCCAAAAACGTTACAAAAGGATACCATTCAGTTGTCACACATGTCCCTAACCACTTCTGTGACACGAATTTGATATAACTGCTTGTGCAATTTTCTGCAGTCTAAAGTTTCATGTTGTCTGCACATGTACTTTCTTTGGAGACACCATTTGCCTCCTGACAAATCGGAAAATGATCAAAATAGTGACTCTGATTGGTTTACGTATTGTATATTAACGCATGACTGTTGACATTGCTTTTTAGTCTTTGGAAATGACAATAATTTTTTTATTACCCAACCCTTGAGTTGTTTTGTTTTTCATTTACCCAACCTTTTACTTACTCAAAATTTTGTTTACCCAACCCTTTTCTCTTCGGTGCCACCCACCATAAATAATGACTGGTCCCTTAGGCTAACAAAATCTATACAGTACTTCTGTTTCAGGCCAATTTGCCTGTCCAAAATTGGCGGCTTAAAATAAAGCCATGCATTGGTGTTATTCCAACAGACTACAAATATATGTTGTATGTGGACACATTTGAATCAATTATCTATAAAGTTTTTTTCAGAAAGCCATTATGCAACGTCAAAGCGATGATAATTTGGGTGTCGAAAAAAAAGTGATGCCTTTTAAACAAAAAACGTGTGCATATTTCATTGAAATGGAACGACACATGTAACGCTATCCTAAAGCTTCTGTCCTTTCGGCTTTGCGTTGCAGTTTAACAAATAAATTTCATGTGTAAGAGTGCCTTATTACAAAGGGAGCAGGTTTAATTTAATCCATTAAGACTACGTTCATACTACATGTACGCCGTAACACTTTGAGCACGGTTTCTAAACGCAGCGAGATGAAAACGGAGCGTTTGGCGGCTTCGTGTAAACACAAACGCCGTTACATTTTTTGTACCGCTTGCAAACCAAGCATCTCAGGTCTCAAAACAGTGCGTAAATTCGAATGCTTTTTGTTTAAATTTCCTTGCTCTATTGACTATTTGAAATATTTTGGGTTTGCATGAGTGCTAATTAAATTTCTAAATACCTGTAAGGGCGTAGTGTGAACACACGTAAATTCTGCCCTCATTATCGCCCTACCTTAATATTTTACTCTGTCTAACGCCAGACGATTTTACTCGTCAAGGGGAGAGTACTCAATGGGTTAAGGGGGTTTCAACAAAGGAATTATGATTTGTACACAGCTACAATACCAGGAATTCAAGTTCGTATCAATCCCATGCATGTAAAACAGATACTAAACAGTTTGCAATTCCTTTCCATGAAAGGTCCCAAAATCTGGAACGCTTTGCCAAATGATATTGTTAAAACAGAGACTCTGAGTTACTTCTGGAGTAGAATACTTATTAGTTCTTATTAGAAAGCTCTTTAATCCAATTATAACACAAGAACAAATATAACACTGATTTCTCTTCACCCTTATCAATAACAAAATAGATCAACTTGTCATCTAACTATTTATCACTATACCTTCATAAATTTTCACGAGGAGACATCCAATCTACAAGCCTTTGGTTTCAGGATGCCTCCTCGACCTCGCCACCTATACTTATATTTATGTAAATAATTTATATGTGTGTTCACTAAATTTAGTGTAGTGTGGCAAATCAGAAATAATAAATATGGTAATAAATGAACCTATGAACCTATAGCATCAGCAAATATACAATGATTAAAATACCTTCTCTTTTAAGAAAGGGAGTCGTCGACCTATTTTGAAGAAACCTTTTTTATCCTTGTTATAAAACCTAATATAAATAATACGCAACAGTTGGTACAGGTGGGTCAAACTTATTCTGCGATGTTTTCACGAATTTCACGGCAAAATAAATATTTGCCTTCGGCTGACTAATTGTTAATTTTCAATTTGTTTATATAATGTAATTTTGTACTGAAGATTCTATACCGTATTTAATTAAAAAAAGTTTCAATACAGCACAATACAATACAATTGTCTAACATATCAAATTACAACTGATTATATTTGGCGCGCTTTTTTTGTCAACAAGTTAACGAACTACAGAAAAATATATTTGGGTCACATCACACTTCACAGTCACTGAACTTTTAAACGAGTGTCTAAAATTAAGAGCTCTAAATTTTGTCGAGAAATCATGAATTTAGCCTCGATTGTAAAACTCTGGCTTTGCACTTGTCTAACAGTACACTGCAGTGTCACGTAAAAACACACAAGTTGTTATAAGTCTGCAGTCTGCAAACAATTAAGTTGTCACAAATCTGTTCACAAGCTGTCAAAAAGTTGTGTTCGTACTACTTGTTCCTAGTTGTTGTAACAAAGTTTGGAACAAGATTGATCAATGGCATTATCAGACTCGTAGCAAAGTTATTCTAACAAGTCTGATACAGTCAGGCTATAACAAGAATGTTAAAAGGTTGGCAACATAAGGTTGTCACAATATTGTTATATCATGATTGTATCGGAAAACCTTGGAACCTTGGAACAAGTACGATAATATCAACAAGGTTATCACTCTAAAAACACTCTGGTTAAAATTTCCTGGTTAATGTGGAAATAACCCCATTTGGGTTAAATTCAGTATTCCTGGTTAAATTTCCTGGTTAATTTATGTGTTTTTAAACTAAGAATACTTGTAACCATTTTCCTGGTTAATTCGTTTAATCAAGAATTAACCAGGAATGCTTGAAAACAAAAAATACCTTGAAAACAAAAAAACAAAATGGCGTCGCATTTTGGACGATTTTTGTTGTTTCAACTTGCTATAGTTGCTTTGTTTTGGCATGAACTAAAGAAAAAGGCAAGCGAAGTTGTATAAAAAGTCAAAGCAGAAGATATTATTTTATTTGGGTAAGACGATTTATTTGTTAATTATGTTTTTGTCAGAAAAATCAAGTGAGTGGAGTGCAATGTTTTTATCTCTCGGTAAAGTAGGTAAAATCACGCAGTGTTTTTCACTGTTTTTCAAAGCAATTTTCCCTTGTGTTAAACAGCGCAGACTGTGCATGGAAGAACTGTCATTTATAAACCTCAGAATCTGAGGCTCAGATTTTCATTTTGTCTGAGAATAATTTTCCCATGCTTGTATTTGAAATTTAATTGTCTTTATTTTTACTTTTGCACATAGACCATAGTGCTATATATTGTTCAACCAGTTTAATTTTCAGCAAGTGACTAAAATTGCAAATTAAGGTTTATCATGGATGACAGTTAGCTGAAAAACCTACTTTGTTTTTGATTTTCTTATGGACAGGCTTCTCAGGCTATTAATATCAGCTGCAGACCTCAGAATATGCTAGAACTTTCACTATCTGTGACTCTTGCATACATGGATGAATCAAGATATATACTACAATTTTGAGTTGGGCTGCCAGAACATATACAGTAATGCCTTAATGGGCCCATGATGTCATATTTGTTCCAAATTATGGCTGAAATATGATTGACCCATGATTATTGACCATGCATAAACATGAAATATTTGGTAATTTGAATGTATATAGATTTGCATTTTTCTACTAAAATTTAAAAATAAATGTATCCAGACTCACTTTTTGTATATATACCAGTCCGTCATTAATATATAAAAACATGCATGCAATGTTCCAATGACATTTCTTATATATAGTTTATATATAAATATATTAATTAATGTCCCTTTCTCATATTTTAGCATGGCCAGCCACAATTAAAATTTTCACATCATGTGACTTTCACAGACTAATTAACTTATCAGGTGTACTGTACTTGCTGTACTTATAATGCTTATGTGTAACTTACTCATAGCTCGGTTGATTCAACATCAAGCAAGTGAATGTGTTAGGTTTTTTATATGGTTGTGTTGATATCTTCCCGATGTAAGTTGCCAATAAGGCCTTATCATGCACAATTCTCTGGCAAAGGCAGTGGGGCAATTGCCTAATCCCTGCACTGCTAACCTTGGTGTTCATGAAAATTCGCTTTACCTCTCCACCAGATAAATTTTGCAGGCATTATTAATTCTTGACTACTAATTGCTTACCCTGGGGGTAATTCAGTCTGGAAGCTAGCTGAGGTCTGGTTTAACCCATATTAGTATAATTACATAGGTGATCATTGAAAATTCTCCACGCTGATTGGTTGCCGTTGAGGTGATATAATGCAATAATCACCTAAGAAATTTTTGATAATCGATTTTCACCTCGCCTTCGGTGAATAATTAAATAAACCACAATTTGCTACCTGTCCTCACTTTGTTATTTACACAGTCACCACATGATTTTGAATAAAGGCCCACTCACCTAATTTCAAAGAGCTAGTGCTAGCTTTTCAGTATTTAATATTCACATGTCCCTCCCCCACCCCACTCGGTAGGCTTGCCTTAGTCCAACTGACATGCTAACACCCCCGTCAAGGCAATTTAAATAAAAAATATAAACATTAAGCATGATAACCAGTATAAACTATTGTATATTGATCCTGGGAAGTTGGGATCGAACGCTCTTTCGTCAGTCTGCATTCTTTTCTATTGTCACATGCATACAACATAACATGTCTAGACCTTTGGATGCAGGCTTATGAAGTAGTACAATTTACATCAAACATGGGTAGCAAAATTCATCAGTATTGACATGATTTATTTAAAAATTTGTGTCATTAAAGTTCTCGAGATTCAACAATCTTGGTGGTTGCCTTTAATTCAACACAATTCAAGTAGCAAGTAGTTCAACCCTTCCACCCCCTCCCAAGTCAGATGTCACTGATATATATATATATATATATATATATATATATATATATATATATATATATATATATATATATATATATATATATATATATATATATATATATATATATATATATATATATATATATATATATATATAATGCACCAGCCATTTGAACCCCCCCCCCACCTAGGGGATACCCGGGGCATAACAGGGATATTCACCTCATTTTTACCATTTTGTCCTAACCCGATCACTGGGGAATCCGCAAGCTTTCACTGTGCTGGCCATCAGGTCAGAGTCAATGTGCAGAGGGATTTACACATTCCCAAAAATACTTTTTAAAGTCAATGTTCACACACAAAGAGAGTGAATTCCCCTGGTGTCCCCGAGGTGGGGGGGAGGGGGTCGGGGGTTTCAAATGACTGGTGAATAAATCGAGATATAAATTGAATTTGGAGCACTATTATTTTCATATGCATGTATTTACAATATTAAAATACAAAGTTTATATTAATACCTTT